AACGAAAGAGAGTTGCGCCTTCTCACTTGCAGAGATTGTCCTACATATCCTTCTTTACATATGAAAAAAATTTGATTAAATAATTCGGGGGACACTAGGCGATGTCTTCATCGCCTCATCAGTTTCATCAATTGATAAATGAAAAAAAATTGTAACAACCTAATACTAAAATCGAAACGAAACACCATCATTTTCCGTAAAAAAGAAGATAATTTTTTGGCAGTTGGGTGTCAGGTTCACTGTTCAGCCGCGAACATCATTATTCGTCGCGACTGAGTAAGATACGAGTTCATCATCGTTCGCTCGATCCCCAAACATACCACAATGTTTCGAGGAGACATTACACTCCTTGTAGCTAACACGCCTATCAAACATTATACACGGCCTGCACATCATAAACCTGGTCAAGCTGAAATCAGTTTCGTCGCCCAAGGTTGCTCCATTAATGGAGCCAAAAGATTCACACTTCGGTGGTCGGAATCAGGAGTCCAGAAGTCCACGGCAGGCCGCGCTCACATATGTATCATATACATTCAAACCTGCGTGCAATCAATATATCGATTTTTCGAAGCAACTAATCCGTCAGCTTGACCGTGACAGGTCAAGACAGCTGAGCGGATCGAGCGGACGATGAATTCACAGGCGACTCCAAACCGACTTGCGATCGAGGAGTGGCGCCTAGCAACGCGAAAACAGGGGCAACGATCTCTTCGCAAATTACCATATATGGCAATGGCCATATTAAAATTAACCATTAGAATCGAGCTTCTAGAAGATTCTAGAACCTTCTATCGACAAGAGTGGGGAAATCGTTGCCTTCCGGACGAATTTCAATTCTAACGACACTTGTTCGAGATCACTGGAAGCGTTCAGACGTAAAAATTATAAATCGTTCACATCCTCCCTATTTTAACATTTCTTGTGAAATATTTGTATCATTCTGGGGTTTTTTATGCTGCACGGCTTCTTCCCCATCGAACCAATAAACAGTTAACACACCTCGGCTCAATCAGTCGTTATTATATTTTCTTTCCTTATTTTGAAAAACGGGACTTTTTCGTGTAGAAGAGGTTTCGATAGAACATTCACATACCCTAGTAGCACAAAATATCGAATACATATTCATCCAATAAAAGAGATTGAATCTCATGTAAATGTGGTTTAAATATACATATGATGTTTATTTTAGATTTAGAAAAAAATATTTTTTTTTAAGTATAAAATGAATATTTATTCAATATTTAGAATGGAATATTTTTTCCCAAATATAAAATACATATTTATTTAATATTCGCAACAATATATTTTTTCCCGAATATAAAATATATATTCATCTGATATTCAAATTCCCACCGAGATAAAAAAAATTAAAATAACTTGTTTTAATTGAATCCAATCACAAGAAATAAAGTAATAAAAGTAAAATCTATGAATAAATGAAACACAATATAAAATTGATTTAATTTTTTTTTTTGAATCTCTTAATTTTCAAGATTTATTCAACATCGCCCGAATATTCAATACGCATCTTCTAAACATAAATTTCACATTATCCGAATATTTTTTAAACGCTTCTTTTAAAATATTTATGGGAAATAGGAAACATTAATAATGGATTTTTCAGGATATGTAGGTATCAGTTTTTGTAATCAATTAGTATCAACTCAAAAAGTAATTTGTATTAAACTTCTTTATTTTTATAAATGAAATCAGGGTGTACAGGGTGTATAAAAATTATTGGTCACCATTTTCAGGGTTTATTGTACACATCTGGATCGGTGGACATTTGCAAAAAAAAACCGTTCTCAAAATCCATTATGACCTCAAAATTTTAGGTCAAAGTGTTTTTTAATTTTAAAAAATTCTACTCGAGGAGTAGGTAAAAAGCTTCAAAGGAGACACATGGCGGAGACGAACCGTTGTCACGTAAAAAATTGTTCAAGTTTTCCAAATTCTCGATAGCGCGGAGCAACTCACGAAGCGTCGCAGCGGCGCCGAGGGTCCCCCAACCTAGCTCCTATCTGTATATGCACGCGCGATGGTGAAGTGTGACCGTACTACACAAACGTAATACGCAGCGCGGAACGGAATACTACTACTTCCTACGCTGAGCATTCGGAATCACTCAAGAAAGAAATATACAGTATATGTTGTTGAGAAGAAACTATACTGTATGGCAATAACGAGCAACTCCATCTAGTTTTCCTCCGCTACCGCATATCTAATGGTAATACCATTTCTATGCAGAGAGTAGCTGCTGTAATAGCGACCTGCTGAATCGGAGAGGTCACGTGCCGTGTCTACCCCCTTAAGGCGTCAAACTAGAGAGCGGATACTCTGGGGTTCGAATCCTATCGGTAGCATTTTTTTTCTATACATCAAACTTCATTTTTTCTATTTCTTATTATGTATACGGTTTATTCACATAAGTTTAACAATATTTATTTAGCGTTTTAAAAATATTTAAGTCACATTTTTACGTAAAATACACACAAAAATAGTTTTTGAACATAAACAGTATTAGAAAACTCCAGCATAATGCATGTACCTATATGAATAGCAGCTATTATTTATTATTTATCCCATGCTTGATACCTCCATACTATTATACGGCCAGCTGAAACACCGTTCTTTCCTATCAATGGGGAAGGTATTCCAAGTTTCGGCGGAAAGTAAATGATTTTAATCGTCGATTGTGCCCAGCAGCCAGCGAGATAATACTCTAAATGATTAATAAATCTTTATTTTGCAAATATCAAAATAATTCCCGAAAATAAACAAACATCGCAATATTTGAAGACATGTATTATTTCAAACGGTTTCGAGTTTCAGTTCTCCATATGCCTGAAGTTTGTGATTTTTGGATTTTAAGAAACATTAAAATCATTTACTTTCCGCCGAAACTTGGAATACCTTCCCCATTGATAGGAAAGTTAGTTAGTCGGCCGCTGCATGGCTATCGCAAAATTTATGACAAGGTCGCGGAGTTACTGTGCCTTGGGGAAGTGGTTGTAAAAACGAGGTATCCAACATCGACGGCCGCTACCTCCAAGTCGACCGATAATGGGTTTGTCTTACGATTGACTGTTCGGCGAAACATGTGTTCAGACAACGCGACGTTGCATTTCGTTAAGAAAGAAACGTTCCTAAGGGATGGGGGCCAGGTAATGAACAAGGGTGGGAGTGTTTTCTGGAAATAAAACTGTTTTTCTCCAGAATTCAGTTTCGAAGTGACCGCCGCAGTGTCAACTGGGAAAAAATGGTGCGCTCAAATCAAGAATGGTTTGAAATATTTTGCGTGGAGTGCGGGCGCAATTCGGAGGAGGCAGCGCGGTGTTATCGCCAACGATATCCGCGATCGCGGCCGCCGACTGCCAAGAGCATTCGGCTATTGGCAACGCGGCTTTATTCGGATGGGGTCCTCCAATCGAAGTCTGCCGATTCGGAACGCCCTCGCCTACGTTCCGCGAATTCGGAGGAAGACGTCCTGGATCGGATTGCTGAGGATCCCACCCAAAGTGTGCGCGACGTAAACCGCAAATCGGGGTAAGTTTAACTTTTTACCGCTTTCGTGTTTGTTGTCGGAATTATGTATTCTATTCATACTAACTATTTATGTTGTATTTCAGCGTCAGCCGGTCGTCGATGCACCGAATTCTTCGGGAGAATTCTCTGCACCCATACAAATATGTGCGGGTGCAGAATTTACTCCCAGAGAATTATGAAAAAAGGGTGGCGTATTCTTTCTCTAATAATACAAATCGGCCCCTTTCGGGACCACCAAATATTGGGTGCAAAGGACTCGGTGCAAAGTGATAGTGACCGTGGAAACCCCTGTGTAAAGTGCAGTGAGTTCAGTGATCGGCCGTCCCATCAGCTGAGCCGCGTAGCAGGTACCAGGCCAGGATCGGTGCGATGACCCACTAGCCGCAGCCCTTCTTCACGAAAACAGGTCAACTTACAAGTCAATGGGTGAGTCTAATTTTAATTCTGCCTTCACATGTTAACCCTTAGAAGCCTGATTTTCCAAATTAAATTTTAAAAAATATCAATGTATTTATGATTTGAACAATTTTGACAGCTGACGTTTATTTTTTCAACTTTTGTTCAAAAGAACATTATGCAATGGTAACATACATACAGCCAAATATTAAAAACAAACCAATTGCAAGTGTAGAATTCGATTTAAAAGTTCGGTATCAAATTTGAAACTTAGGGCATTTAAGGGTTAATTTCAGGCATTTTTACTACTGGTATTTTTACGTTGTAACACATGAAATGCCTCATTTTGTATTGGCAAATTTTTTTATCCACTTTCTCGAAAAATATTTCTATCTTTCAGATCTTTGACGCATTAATGCAAAATTTAGAGTCTCCTTCATTTTAATTTTCAAACATTTACATATTTTCACCCATTTTCTTATAGTTGTAAGTTGTACATTTTAACGATTCTCATGTTAAAGTTAGATTCAAATTTATTATGATAAATTGTCATTGAAATTTTTTAACGATTACGTATTTGAAGGTAGGAAACGTGTAATTTCTTCATTAAATGAACAGATTTCGATACCTCCTATCTTGATCAGTAACGTTTAATATAAAGAAAAAGTTATATTTGCGTAAAGTTTTCATTATAAATCAGACGTTTCATGTGCTTGTTCGCTGGCTCGAGCCTCCTCGCTTACGCCTATGCTCTGAGCGCGCGCTCCTTGGACGCTGTGATTGGTCAGTGTTTTTCGTTAATAATTCAAAAACGAAACCCCATCCGACATTTTTGCAAAGGAAATTGTTGTTCAGAATCGTCTCAGCTACCCCCCATTTCCGGCTTCTCCCCGAGTTTTGGGACACTGTATATCCAACAGAATATAATTTTTTCTTTCTTTTAAATCACATTTTTTAGGTAACATAATTGCTTGTTTCAGTGTAATAACGCTAAAAATTACTTAATATATGCCCAAGACAAAGCCAAGAAGTATAACTTTCCTCCTTGCAGCAAAAACGTCGAAAAAATTCAGATTTATTGTTTTTGACAATGAAGCAGCCGAACAAAAAATTTTAAAAAAATTGACGACACTGCCTGCTATTGTACATTATCAGGGAACCAAACAGTAGAATAGCATGTTTTCATATTTTTGAGGAAAAAATGTTTTTCCGATTTTTTTGAGCTTTTTCATTTTTTACAGCCACAGTTTTCAACAAAAAATTTTGAAAGTATTCTCAAAAATGCGCCTTAGGATCCGAAATGTGTCAGATTTTTTCAGAATTTTAGAATGCATTTGAGACCGGAAAATGCGCCGAAAAGCGTAAAATCTATTTTACCCTGTAACTACCCTCACGAGCAAGCTAGAGGGTTAAAATTTTACTCAGAGGGGTTTTTCTTGGTCAGCTTTCGAATGATTCAAGAGCCATTGAAAAAGCTCTAAGGGCAGTTTTGACCATCTTAATCGGCTAGGGCCTTACCACTAGAACATCTACTCGAAATGTACTGCATACAAGACTGATAAAACCTAAGCAGCTCTCCATATCCATGCGAATAAATCCTCTCCACACCCTGTACAGCAAATCTAAAACAAAAACACTCAAAACCAACAAATCATGAAGTAAATATTAAAACACAGAGATACATAAAAATATCTTTTGATATCTAAGATTTTAATCTAAACCAAGCTAACTCAACCTGGAAGTAAATTTATCCACAACTCTGCGATTAAGAAGAAATAAATTACCTTGAGTGTATCCTCTCAAACTGTACCGTACATAAAATCTTGGAAATCTAGCTAGCTCTTCGTACCCCTGTGAATAGAGGTCCTTTCCGGTCTGTGCACAGCAAACCTAAAACAAGAGCACTCAAAGTCAATGTATCTTAAAGTAAAATACTAAAACACCACGATACATAGAAGTCTCCTTTATAACACAAACTAACCCCAATCTAAATAAAGATAATTCCATCTAGAAGTAAACTCATCTCCAACTCTACGAATGGAAAAAGTAAAATACCTGTAGAGTATCTTCTCAGAATGTACAGCGTACAAGTCTCCAGTAACCTAAATAATCCTTCGCACCCATGCAAACAAAAATCCTCTCTGCTCCCTGTACAACAAACCTAAAACAAATATATAAAATCAATGAATCATAATATAAGTACTAGAACACCACGATACATAGAAATATCATATATAGATCAAAATAACATCTATCTAAATCAAGTCAATCCAACTCAGAAGTAAATCCATCTCGAACCCTACAACGAAAAAAGTAAATTAACTTCGTAGTATCTTTTCAATATGCTCTGCGCGCCAGATCGTAGGAAACTAATTAGCTCCCTGTACCCAATGCAAATAAAAATTCTATCTGCTCTCGCTACAGCAAGCCTAAAACAAAACAAATAAACCAAATGGATCATAATATAAGTATCAGAGCACCACGATATATGGAGATATCATAATTTCAACCTAAACCAAAAAATCTCAATTCACAAAAGATTTACCCTCAACTCTCTGAACAGGAAGAAATAAATTACCTTCAGAGAATCCTCTCATGAAGAAATGCACACTAGTTATAGTGGCATGAAGAACCCATGCACTCCTACGCACCAAAATCTTCCTCCTTTCGACACGACAAACCTAATAGAAACAAACAAAATCTAATCAATCACACTATAGAAGCATCAGAACACTCCGATACATAAAAATGTCATAGCAAACCGAACAGGTAAATAATCTCAATCCTACTCGATTTAATCCAACCTAGAACGTCAAACCCTATAGAACGAACGAAGAAATGTATCGAAAACGACATCTCACGGTGACAGACGAAAAAACAATCGAAACACATAAAACATGAAACGTGTAACGATCAAGCAAGGAAACCGCGATACCATCCATACCCTAACCTATAAAATATAACTATACCCAAATAACTAGAACAATCCTATTAAGGGTGCGCAGGAGACAAACTGGCGCCACCAACGGAAAGTAGGTGAACTACTAGATAGTTTTTCCCGCTTTTCAGGCGCAATAATGAAAAAAACATATAATAATTATGCATTTCGTAATCAGGAGAAGTAAATCTATCGTCTCGTCAAGCGTTTTTTGGAAAAAATTGAAAAAAAAAAAAAAATTTCTTGTCTTTGAACGTATTTTTAGCAAGTTTCAAAAGCGAAATTGCAAAATGTGTAACTGTCTCCCGCAACAGTATTTTATAAGGAACAGTTTAAAAAAAACATCAGCCGGAAAGGTCGCTTCCTCGTCTCATAAAATTATAATGGTGTTGTTGTGATGAAATCGAGAAGACTGATGCGCTTGCACAATGGCTTGAGTTTCACGCTCTCCACCACAACACACCACAGCGCTGGTGTCGTCTCTCCTGCTGTTGGTGTGCCGATAATCTAAAAACGCCTCTCAGCATGGTTCAGTACCGTACTAAATCCGTACTACTTAATATATGCCCACGACAAAGCCAAGAAGTATAACTTACCCTAACCGTACCGTACCGTACTACTGTACTAAAAAGTATGAAGCGCCCGAGCTTATATATTTTACTTTTGCATATGTATATATATTCAATATTATATTGTTAAGAAACGTCATGTATATGTTAAGGTTGTTTATATTGCATTGCAATTAATTGATACAGAATAGTCTGTTACGATAATTTCAAAGTAGTAAATAATAAACAACTGATATGATATTTGTAATATGGTACGAACATAATAAAGTACTAATTGTTATTTGTGGAATGTAATGATAGTATGCAATGTAAAAAATATTGTATAATAAAAAAGGTAAAACGTTTATGAACATTATTTTTGAATATACGTAATTATATAAGAAAAAGCACACTAACAAAGGGAAGGCGCAAATGTTGCAATCGCTTTTGCAACGACACCCTATGGGGGTCGTAGTACGCATGTAGTACTGCAAAACCATTTTGGCCTTTTTCAGAATGGGTGTTTATTTTCGATGTACAATAAAAGCATCTACTCTACCAATCCATTCAACGAACGTTGATTGGTAGAGTATTAGGTTGTAACGCTGCTTGACCCCGGGTACGAATCCCGATTGATGTATTTTTTTTTTATTTCAATTTTCTATCAGAAATATACTTTTTGGATATCATGTACTATATACTGCATATTATATATTACCTTACGCATATTTTAAGGTTAAAATTAATTTTTTAACGTAACATACCATGGCGGAATACCTAACTGCTGTAGGTGAGTAAGTCTTTACAACGATTTTTATGTTTGGTCGTAAGTTTATTTCGTTTTATCGTGACAGTTACATGAAGGAAGGTTTGAAAGTTTGAAAATGGATAGTGATTCTTTGCGTGCAAGTTGTTTTGAAGAAATAGTCATCGATAGCAGAGAATCCAAAACATTGTGGAATATAAAATGTAAAAACTGCAATCGTTGTAAAGTTTTAACTTCAAAATATGTGTAAGGTAATATATAATATGCAGTATATAGTACATAATATATGAAAAGTATATTTCTATGACACAAAATTGAAAAAAGAGAAAAAAAATCAATCTGGATTCAAACCCGGGCCAGCAGCGTTACAACCTGATACTCTACCAATGAATTCAATGATCCTTCTTAGATACTTTTATTATACGTCTATTAAGAACACATATAAAAAACTTTAAACCATAATATCTCGAAAACGATGGCCTATTCTTCAAAAGTCAAAATGGTTTTGCAGTACTACATGCGTACTACGACCCCCATACGGTACCGTTGCAAAAGCGATTGCAACATTCGTGCCTTCTCCTTGTAAGATAGATACAATAAAAAGTATGTTTCATAGCGAAGCATGTAATATGTAGCAGCATATAACATTAAATGGAAAAAAGTGAAAGAATAGAATATAACAAATTATTTAGTTAATTATAAATTGTTCTATGATTCTATTTGTACAGGGGTCCACAATTATCGTTTTGTTGGAGGCAAATAACAGTTGGTAATAACAAAAACAGATAAAGTCCGAATTTTCAATTGTTCTATTTTATTAATAATTTCATATAAATTATACAAGACGTATTTAATTTTTATTTATATAAAAATAATATATAATGTATAATGTATAATTGTTGTTTTCAAATTATACAATTAATTTACTTGTTATTCATATACTTCTGTACTTGTGTATACCAATGAAGACTATAATACCTACACAAGACATGATGAAACAGTAGTAACAGGTACTGTTGATGATGTGTAATACATATGCATAGCGCGTAGTACCCTGGGGTTGCATGTCAGTGGGTACAGATCAACAGGTGACTGGTATTGGGACAGGTAAGTTACTCTCTTCATTGTGCTCGCGTGGTTCCCACTGCGTTTGGCCGAGCGACGCGACAAACTGAAAACAAATGAAGCAGAAATAGATGTTATTTCGCATTCTTCCGAGTAAATGTTAATTAAATATGTTAATATTTACCTTACTCTTTGCAAAAATTTCGTCCGCTGTTCTGCATGTACAGTTGTGGTGTTTTTTTTTTTTTATGGAGGTAGAAATGCTTTTACGCACGGAGTGGGGGACTCGACCTGGCAGTATTTGCAGGTAATACCCACTAAAACCACCCCCGTTGAATGTTTATTCCACGTTATACAAAGCAATCTAATACTACAAATCTGTTCAACGTAAGTGAATATGCAAAAACAAATTATCGAGTATTTAATTGCTGGATAACGTTTTTCTTCGTTTGCAGCTTGTTGTGCTTCAACGATATATCGTGGTTCGCGAATCGGCATATATCTTGCAACTCGGCTATCTATTATTTCTGGAACCAAGCATTCTTCGTAAAATCGTTTTAGCAACGGTAACATTTTGACTTGCCAAAATGTGTCGTCGCGTTTAACAATTGTGTACTTGATTCTCAAGGGCGTCCAAACTGCAAAGATGCAATATTTTCTTTGAGTTATATGCAGTTGCCCTTGTATTTGGAAATAATATTCATGCCTTTCGTTCAAACGATCATCATCGTTCGCAGCAAAAGCTCGATAACAACCTATGCCTTTCTTTGCAATCGCTTCATCAGGAGAGATGTTTCGCGCTGCATACGGGCATTTTATTTCGACGATAGTGTCGTCACCAACAATGCCGACAGACGCGCGCCCAAATATGGGAATTCTGCATCAATAAACAACCCACAGTCATTTATTTGAATTCCCATGTCCGTCTGCAATTGCTCGCGTGCCAAAATTTCTTTCTCTTTACCCCACTCAACAGCGGCTGTTTTGAGTCGAGGGAGATAGAGAATATTTTTTACCAGATTTTGGCACGAAGTTGTCTCTCTTCTGCAACAAATTTTGCCAAAATTCGATGCAGTTAGTAGCTTCTTACGTACGTAGCATCACTGCTGGTTTTTATATTGCCCGCGGAGTGATGTACTCTAGTTCGTCTCGAGTCTGCTGTTGAACTCGCAACTTTTCATAATGCTCGTATTTTAACTGCTCGTAAATATTCACAGCCACGTCTGGCCGCTCAGCATTCGGCCCGTAGTCTTTATCAGCTTTACCACTATGGCCAGAATACTTCGATTTACAAACAATTAAACCCAATTCTTGAGCTTTACGCAGACGTTCATTACGTTTGGCACGTTGAACAATATTTTCTTGTTCAAATACTGTCGCACGTGCCGGTGGTTTTTTACCTAACGCGTGACAAACAGCACTCATCGATGTGAAGCTGTTACAGTGCACCACCGCTGCTTTCACACGCGTTTCATACGAGCCTTTTTGGGCTAAATGCATACGTTTACCGCCAATACATTTGGAAATAATTGCGTTGCAACTTTCCACTGAGTTGCTGGTATATTTATAGAGCAAGCTCTTTGCATTTTCTATAATGTGTTTCATTGCATACTCTATTTTATCATAGAACCCCCTCATTTGCAATTGGGGAACAAGATTTGTCTCGTTTTCCTTTCGCGTTCCGTCGCAAAAGTATTGTAACGAGGCGCAATTTTTATGTTCCCCAAACACATGGCTGGGTATATTTTGCAAATCTTTAACCAAATTTGCAATTTTCTCTTCCCAGCATGTTTCACTATTGCGTCGAAACTTTGCAGCCTTTACTATAGCGCTACGGATGTGTGTAGCGTTCTCTGCAATAGCTTTTCTCAGTTTCGAGGTGTCCCTTTTACCAACTGAACTCAGTTCTTTTAATTTTTTTGCTAAGTTGCGGAGAAGATGATTGGTACATTCGACCATCTCCACAACAATGTCTGGATATGGTGGCAAATCTCTCAATTTTTTGAGGACATTGCTGTTACCATCACCGATATATTGGCTATATATTAAACCGTGTTGTTCCAAACTAGCGAAAGCCTTCTAATATAATATCGTTTTCCATGCTAGTGGAACTCTGAGCACGTCCCCAGTTTTTGTAACAGACGTACTTTTTCGGTTTTTGGTTTGCGTTGCTTGATCTTGCACAAACAACGCAATATTTGTTTCTAACCCCCACAAATAAAATTTTTTGTGTATAAAACCCCATGATAAGTGCGGTTTCGGACGGAGAATCGTAACCACCACTATGATACGTTCTTTTCATCCAGGAACCGTCTGTTATCACAGAAATGTGGGAAATACCGTTTATAAAATCGCCTCTTTCAAGCGCCAATTGCTTTTCAGCTTCGCCAGCCACTCGCATTTCTGTTTCTGCAGCAGCATCAAACGCTTCAGCTACGTCACGCTCGTACTTTAACATACGTACTCGTACTTGTGGCCAATCCCCGTCAATATAGTGCCACAAACGGCACCTCCATTGACATCCAACATGTTGTTGTCTGTCGGGTCACTCCAAAAACTATCTTCGAAGTGACACATTCGACATTTCACAACATATTTGGTTTTCAGACCATGAGAGATTGTTTTAATTATGCAAAGGTCACTGAAACGGCATTCGTTATTCCAATGAGTCGATATTCTTTGCAGTTCTGCAAAGATATGTCCAACATTGGCAATGGTCCGTCCAGTGACCTCAATGGAAGACAAACAATCTACGGCGATGTTTTGATCTTCCTGCAAAACGATATTTTCGATATCCTCATCCGTATCGTTTTGCAGATGCGATGGAGCACTTATTGCAGTGCACGCACCTGTCGAAGTTGAAGGGGGTATATGCGATGTTGATTGCAACATAGCCGCATAACTTGTCTCCACATGTACTTCATCCAGGAAACAATGCGCTTCTGAACTTCTTTCATGTTCTACAGTTTCTGAACTGTGGTCAGCGCATCTATCCATGGACGAATTTGT